CTGGGTTTCTGCATTTTGTCATGGTCAGACTTCCTGATCTCCTTGTAAACCCTAAACTAGCTGCCTCTTAAGTGTTTGACCTCAGTGAGCCTCGTTATGCTTTGTACAAATAATGCTGCTTTGTTTTTTCCTTAGGGCCGTACATGCTGGGCACTGGGCTCCTGCTTTACCTTCTCTCTAAGGAAATATATGTAATTAACCACGAGACGATTGCATCTATCAGCATATTGTCAGTCATCATTTATGCTGTAAAAAAATATGGGTCTCATGTAGCAGCTTTTGCTGACAAGCTTAATGAGGTAAAAACAAAACCGTAGTCTAACTTTGTAGCAGTTAATAGCTGTTCTAAAGTTACTTGCTTAAATATTTAAAAGAATTCTGTGGCTAGGCCGTTATAAAAATCTGAGCCTGGTATCTTCAGAATGCTGCTTCAGTAAGGTGTGTTTGAGATCTTGTGTTGGTATTGTTACATAAGTCTTCAAAAATAAAACAAAACACCTTGTACCAGCACAAATACTTTGTGAAGTTATTGTTTTTTCAAAGTACAATCGATTGTGAACCGTAATTCTTTGGTCTTGCCATCCTTTAACCCCAGCCCTGGCACAAGCCAGTTTATGCAGACATTTAAAAAATGTTAACGCAGATTTCTGAAGCTAATTATGGATCACTTACTTTCGTTCTGAAGCACGTTTGTGTTTCTTCTTTCAGGAGAAGGTTGCTAAAGCAGTAGCTGTGAAGAACGAGGCCATTAAGGATCTGGAGACTGCCATCGAGCAGGAGAAGAAGGAGCAGTGGCGGGTCGAAGGCCGTGGTTACCTCTTCGATGCCAAGCGGGTACGCAGCTCTCGCTCCGCCGTTTGCTGCTCCTGCGGGCGCCTCTTAAATTGCCAACGAACCCTTTACCCTCTGTGTGCTGGAGACAGCCCAGCTCCTCTGCCTCCTCCAGTGACTGTTCTGCTGCTGTGTTGTGTTCTTGCCAAACGTTAACCCTTTGGTTTCACCTTCTGTGTCTAGAATAACATTGCCATGTTGCTGGAAACTAACTACAGAGAAAGATTGCTGACGGTGTACACCGAAGTGAAGAAGAGGCTGGACTATCAGGTGGCAATGCAGAATCTGAAGCGTCAGAAAGAACAAGATCACATGATTCAGTGGGTGGAGAAAAATGTTGTTCAGAGCATCACACCTCAACAGGTACTTGTATTTTTTAATCTGCTCTGTGTTTTAGTCTGCACAAATACTTGCTGTCCAGTGATTCCGGCTTAGGCCAGGAGATGCTAGATCATCTTGAGATGCCTTCCAGGTGTGGCTGGAATGGAATTCTGCTGCTGGGGGAG